ATCACCTTAAAATACAGAAAAGACACGAAAAGAAAAGAACAAATAAAAGCGCATGGCAATAAAACGGTCTTCTTTGAAATGGTCATTACTTTTTTTGTATGTTTCTTGTTCATAGATTATACACCCTGTGGTGTAAGTCATGATGATCTGAGGGCGAGAGTGGTCGGTGGTAAGAATTCGAAAAGAGGCTGCTGACCCTGGCAGATTGGACTGCGCAGGGTCAACTCAAAAGGATGGAAAATTTGCGTTGTCTAGCTTATTCATTGAATGCTGTATATACCAGGAAAGCATGACTAACATTTTTGTTCCAACATTCGGCAAATCCTTCTAATTAGCATATGACTGTCTGTGGCCTTTCACAACAGAAAAAATTTATCTTTAAAATCTCACTTTTAATCCAATAAGGTATTCACGAACGATTCTCATTCAACTGATTTGTTTGTTTGTTTGTTTATTTTTTCACGTTATTATGTTCCCAAAAATACAGAGTAGCTCTACTCGCTCTGATAGGGGGCCAAGCTCGAAACGTTACTTAAAATGCACTGGTCAAAAGCTGATTTTTTTTCCGCCATAATTTTTGAGTAATTTTTTTCATTAAGAAATTGTTACATGAGAATAATACTTGCTGTTTTCTAATTTTTTTCTTATCTCTTTTTTAAGCAGAACTTGTGCTTATCTGTGGTGGTGCTCTGATTTCTCGTCGCTGGGTTCTGACGGCTGCGCATTGTTTTTACCACAGATTTTCGAGGGGCTAGAGTTCTCTACGATTTGTCCAATAAGTAAGCACTAACTCCAATAATCCTTATTACGTTTGAAGTTTAAAAAACCTCTTTATAACTAATGATGTCATTTTTTCTATTTATATATTTGAAATTTTACATTAAAAGGCAGGATTTGAAGGTAGCGACTTAATAAAATGAGCTCTAAAAAGTTTCCAAACCCGTATGCTGTTTTGGGGGGGGGATGAAATATTTTCAAACGATTGCCATACGGAATGGCTCCGAGTAAGTTTAAGCGAGATGCCTGTATACTTTAAAAAAGGGGAAAAAAAGAAAGCTGCCATACGACTTGGAAAAACATTGGAAGTTTACGACTGAATCGTGTTCAAAAACACTTCCAATAGTTATCCCTTGTAATGGACTACCAAGGTCAGAGCAAGATGCTATGCTATACCATGATATCGTTAATCAAAGGTACAGAGA